ATGAACGGTGAGAAGCAGAGCGGTTCGGGAGCCGTGCTTCATTGTACGCGGAAAGCAATAAGCGTTCATCGCACCGGTGACAGTCGCTTCGAAAATGAGCGACGTGGCAGTATTTCATCGTCAGACGTCGGAGACTCTCGCAGACGAAAGTTCGAGGCATAGCAAACAAAGTAATTTGAGGAAGAAAATCGATTTGCCGAAAGAAACGGAACCTGATCAAGCTGGAGTGCAGCTTCGAGAGGTAAAACCCGCGGCAACACCTGTCTCACGCTTGACACCGAGGTTGTGGGAAAGGTACCGAAATTTCGGGTTTTGCATGGTGCAGATCAGAAGCTCAAATTTAAGACCTCGAAGTGTATTTGTGAATTAAGACCTGATTAGGAAACTCTGCATGTTGGATCAACGAAGCGCAATTTCAAATTTCATAACTCCAATAGGTCCGCAATTCGACATCAGAAGCGGTTCTGGAAGATGAACATAATTACCATGGGAACTTTAGGCGCGGGTATGAATTTTCAAGTTCCATTTCAGAGGAAAAACTGGAGATTATGAAACGGATTAGGAGTGAAAAGCGGATATTTCAAATATTGTACACTCTGGAGCTGCCGATCACCACAATGAAATGAGGTCTGAACGGCAACACCACTTAAATATGTATATACGTGTATAAGTGTATAGCTTGGTACAGAGCGTTTACCTTAACGAAAGGTCTGCCACACAAGTTAAAATGTTCAAATATTTTATTTATGAGGTCTACCACATTGGAGTTGTGCCCTGATGATGCTACTCCATTCGTAGCGAGGAGGGTCTGCAATAAACTGTCAGCATCCGTGTTATTGCTTGGTGCTCTGGGCCATGAATCGGCAAACAGTCTAAAATTTAAATGTTGCTCAGTCAACAGTTTTCCTCATTATCTCCCTTGTTGTTTATTTTCCAGATTAATGACAGGTCCTGGCTGCTGTCTCTGTTTACACACTGCATGCGCTGCCAGGGGCACTTCCAGTAGTTCTTTTAACACCATATCATTCTCGTTCTTTTTTAGTCAACGTTGCTACCGTTTTTTTACTGCACATCACATAAGTACAGAGTTTGTTCTTCAACATAGAACTGCAGAATTTGCTGAAACCATGGTGCCCCCCGCTGTGTTCTTTCCAGCAATACATCTTAAGACAAATCTTATTGGTGAGTGTATGTTTATATTTGCATATAGATATCTGTGTGCTTCTGCCAGTCTGTGTCTAACTTACTGCATATACATTCCCGGGTTGCGTTTCCGACTGTATGCAAATGACCTCTGAGTTCACACGTTTCTGTCATTCGTTCTGTGCAAGTTTGTTTACTCATCTCTCTGACTGCTTATGCCTCAGTCTGAGTGTTGGATCATACGTGATTATTTACTTATGTCTGTCCGTCTACAGGCCTGTCTGTCTATGTCTGTTTGTCTTTGTATGTGTGTCCGTCTAAGTAGGTATTTCTGTTTGTTTGTTCATGCATTAATGAGCTAGTTTGACTGTCTGTCTCCCGCCCATTTCTTTGTTCATGTGTCTGTCTATCTGCCTTTCTCTCTCTGTTTGATGACCTCATACTAGTGTCTCTCGTCTCAGCATCATCTGGGACCACTAAATTGTTGCTCATCCATCAAACTGCTACCTAACACTTAAATATTATGGCGAACATACGGAACATTATATGCATATGATCATAAGTTGGTTAGTAATAGTGATAATCAGTAAAGTACAACAAATCAAAAATAAATACAACAATAAAATACAACAAATACAACAAATAAAACAAACAAAAAACAAATTACGATCGCAGAGTCCAATCGTTTAGCACTCGTCTTCTGATAAGCGTTTTCACTTAAATTCGTTACACCACCTTTTAAATGCCATGATTTAATTTTTAATTATCACTAATTTGCATTGGACAGAAGACATATTTTTACTCACTGTTGCTTTCGTTTCTGACCAGACTGAAGCGTAATGTATTCAGATAGAAAGTTTACCAACCGAAATTCACAACCTAATAAGTGTAATTGGACACGAAACAAAATCTCACAATTGGTGAGACTTTTCTGAACGTGAAATTAATCGTAAATCCTTTGATCTTTGCGACCACATGAGGAACATTGAACTTGCAGCCGT